TAAATGTAATGTCAATATCCAATATTCAGTTGGAATCAACGTCACTACCCTATCTCTCCCAAAGTCCTTAAAAAGAGGGTTTAGGAAAGTCGAAAAGGAATTTGGCACTTACAGTTTGGTGATTGTAGTCTCCTGGTTTCTTTCCCGATTCTTCCTTCTGCAGAGAGCTCCTTGAATCCCTCCGATCCTCGCTGAAGAAGTTGAAACTTCAAAGTCACGAAAACGATTTCTGGCACAATGCAAATGTTCTTTTTCACGACCGCGAGAATCCTACCGACTGGGCCAATTATGTATTGGAAATCGAGAACTCAGTTTTGAAAAAGAAAATCGATTTCACATAAGACTCAAAAAAGCGTTTATTCTCTTCGAGAGCAGTACAAAGAATGAATTTTTATTAAGACAATTATTACAAGATTTGAAATATAATGAGTTTGCAAAGTCTTAGGCTCCTGTAGATAAGGCACGTTTCTCGATATCTGTTTCCACCTAACTCGCGCCTTTCAGCTCATGGGAAATTCTTTCTCTCCTCCTGATATGATACATCATTCGAATACAACAATTTTGAACTTTTTGGATTCGACGTATGTCACTACAATCTATACATGAACCATACACAATGTCGCAGTGATTGAAATGAGACAATATCATAGTTTCGCTCAACATTTTCCTCACTTCCCAACTTGAATATATTCTCCGCTGATATACCAACTTTAACGACGCCTAGGCTTTTCGAAGTTTTTCCTGAACATGTGCTTCAAAACGTAATTTGAAATCTATGAGTAAACCTAAATTTTCGCAGCTGTCTCTGAAAGTAAGCATATCAACCCCTAAGTTTATTTGCATTTCACTCAAAGCTTCATGTTTCTGAGTATCGCTACCCAATAATACAGCAGAAGATATATTGCAATTTATAGATAAAAGATGATCATTAGAAAAATTAAGGAGGATTTCTGAATCACGATTGATTTTTATATTAGCTTCCCTCATATTTTCCAATTTGGATGCATGATAAATTTGCATGCTAAATTTGATTATGCTATTTGATATTTCGTTTTCTATTTTAACGCACTGAGTTCGGTTTGATGAATATGATTTGAAAAAAAAACAAGCAGAATTACTCAAACCAATAAAATGTGAAATTGCAGTTAATATTTGATGATTTAACGTGTCAAATGTCCTAGAATAGTCAATCGATAACAAAACTCTCACTTCACTTTTATCCAAGGCATACAAAATATCATCTGTTGTGGTTGCTAAAGCTGTTGAACAGCTGTAACCAGATCTGAAACCAGACTGAATTGGTGGTAATATTTTGATTCCTATACTTTCTTCGCTTCGCTTCCTCATCTGTTTTTCAATTATGTTTTCCAATACCTTGAATAAAACAGGTATCATACTTATACTCCTTAAGTGTGACAATTCTGTGGGTCGGGAAGTTTTCGGTAGTGGTAATAGGAAAGCATGTTTCAAACTTTTTCAAAAATAATGATGTGTAATGCATTATTTGAATATATGTGTTAAATGTGATACAATATGAGGGCAACATATATGTATATTCAAATTGTCATATCCGTAAGCCTTTGATTTTATTTTCTGTAACATTGTCAAAACTTCTTCCTCTGTAGTGGGAGAGAACTCAAGTATTGTAGTAAGATAATCCATTGTATTGNATCGGATTCCATAGTAATCCGAGTGTTTTATTTTGATCCCTGTCACCTATGTGTAAGAGATCAGGATTACAATCAAGAAGCAAATGTTTATTATTTGATATCCATTTTCTCAATGGAAAACCGTAGGAGAGTAGAAGTTTAGAAATATTTTCTTTAATATAATTGATCTCCTCTACAGTGTCACCACCAGTGAGAAGATCATCGACGTAAAAGTCGTGTAAAATAATGTCAGCAATTTTTGGAAACTCATGCTTGTTAAGATGTGCAACTTCTTGCAGTGATCTGATAGCCAGAAACGCTGAAGATGCCAAACCATACGTGATTGTGTTCAATTCGTAAACCTGAATTTCACTTTCAGGATGGAAACGCCATAATATCTTTTGGAAATCGCGTTGTGATTCATGGACAAGCACTTGACGGTACATTTTTGTTATGTCTGCACTCAGAACATAATTGTGTTGTCGAAATCTCAATAGAATATGAAATAAATTATCTTGAATGGTGGGTCCTACCATCATGATATCGTTAATTGATATACCAGTCGTGGTTTTAGCGGATCCATCAAAGACTACTCTCAATTTTGTAGTTGTCGAATCTTTCAATACGCAATGATGCGGAAGAAAGAAACCTGAATCGTCACTTTGATGTTCAGCTAAAGACATGTGACCGAGTTGAATATATTCTTCAATGAACTGGTGATATTGTACCTTTATGTTGGGATTTCTTTCAAGTTTTTTCTCAAGATTGCGAAACCTGTTTTCGGCTATTGTTTTAGACTGACCGAGAACAAATTCATTTTGTTTAAATGGAATTGTTACTACAAAGCGACCGTCTATGGTTCTCTGTATGGTTTCCTTGAAGTGTTTCTCACAATAGTTTTCTTCATCGGATAGGAATGAAATTTTTGGAAATTCCTCTAACTCCCAAAATTTTGCAACTTGAGATTCTAAATTATGTGTTGAAATACAGCTGTGGTAAGTTTTGAAACTTTCACTTGCAGTACGTAAAGGACCTGATACTAACCATCCCAATTTAGTTTTTTGTAGTGTTGGAAGACCATCGCCAAGTTTTATTTGACCAATACTCAAAAGATCCCAAAATGTGTCTGCCCCTATCAATATGTCTATGGGAGCAGGTTTATCGAAATGTGGATCAGCCAAATTCAGTTTACCCGGAATATTCATTTTTGTTGAATGTAAAGATGAGGAAGGCAAGTAGCTCGTTATTTGAGGCAGAACTATACAAGAAATTGTTTTTTCAAAATTATTAATATTAGATCTGAACCTGAGTGAAACAGAAAATTGTACCTTATTACTCATTTGGTTTATACCAGTGACTGACATATTGATTGAATGCCTTTTCAAACGTAAGATATTGGACATTTTTTCTGAAATAAAATTCACCTGGCTCCCACTATCAAGCAGAACTCTACAATAATGTGTGTTATTAAATTCATCAAAAACTTTAATTATTGCAGTAGAGAGTAATACCTGAGGAGGAGTAGATAAACTAGTAGTTAATGTATGTTGTAAGTTAAATTCATCGGCATCTACATTAGACGCGCCCGAATTATTTAAAGTTATGTCATTAACAGGTTTACCACTCTCCCCTACCCGGTTGTTTTCGAAATGTAACATACTATGGTGTATCTTTCCGCACCTTCTACAACCCGCTGACTTACACTCCTTTGTGCGGTGATTAGAGCCCAAACAATTTATACACAGTCTCAGACGTTTTGCTGTACTCAGTCTTTCGACTGCCGTCAATTTAATAAATTCCGAACATAAATACAGCGTGTGATTATTTTTGCATAAAGGGCAAACTATTTTATTTGAGCTTGTAGCGAAAGATTTTGCTTGTCTTTGCGATTGTTTCATAATACGCTTAGATCCTTCCCCGCGTTCAGAATCTAGAGATAATAGAATTCGACATCGTTCTTTCAAAAACTCTAACAGGTCTTTACGAGTTGGTATATTTTTCGAATCAGTTCGAGATTCCCATTCACGTTTTGTCGTTTTATCAAATTTTGTTGTTGCCAGATGTACAATTAAGTCATCCCATTGGTCTATAGGACGTTTCAACACTTCCAAGGCATTCAGATTTTTTTCAATACCATCAAGTAATAAATTCAATCCATAATATGACTCTTCTTTAAGTGAAGGTATTTCAAAAAGAGCTTTTACATGGTTTTTGATCAATGCTTGTTCATCTTCAAATCTATCTTTCAGTAAATTCCATGCAACTTCATAGTTGTCGTTGCATATTTGTAACGACGCAATTTTTTCCGCGGCATTTTCTTCTAAAGAAAGACGCAAATAGTGAAATTTTTGAACGTTAGACATAGTTTGATTGTCATGAATGATTGACTTGAAACTATCCCGAAAAAACAACCATTGATCAAGTGAGCCATCAAAAGTAGGTAATTTGAGTTGTGGTAAACGAAAGTTTGAATTATTATCGTTGGCTAAGTTACTATTAGTACCAGAATTCTGTGATATGCTATCGTTAGCGATCTCTTTTGAAGTTATAAATTTTTTAACAGCAGAGGTAATTGCATAAAAATCGTTTTCGAACTTTCCCCTTTCAATAAAATGGATAGTGAGATGATTAGTTTCGAAATCCGCGTCATCAGCTTCAATTGCAAGTTGAGCGAGGTTAAATTCCTCCAAAAGTTCCTCGGCTTTGTTAAGCCGACGTTGTAAATCGTCGAGATCGACATTATCAAGGTCCTTGACCGAGTGGAAGTAATTCGTGAATCTCGTCAAAGAACCTTTTATACCAGTCCGTTTTATTTTATTTATGTTAGACATGCTGTACCTGAATAACGAAACGCGTTGTATCTACCAAGTATCAAGTGCGTTTCAGCGAATATAAGTTTATTTTATGTCAAATAAATTCGCGTAGAGTAGGAATGAAGTGAAAAAAGGAAGGCACTAACCTGTTGCTATGTCGAAAATATNTTTTATGACATATAAATTATAAACGTCTGAATATAAATGATATTTTGAAGGTTTTTCGGGATTGTATGCTTCCATTAATTCATTATTTGCTTCAGAGTATCTATTCGAACAAACCGATATTTTGCCCCTTATCCCCGTTTCTACAAACATAATCATGTCTGTGATGTTTTCTCACACAATCCTCTCACACCAATCCTCAGAACTCTGATCGGGAAAGGTTTAGGGTAAAAACATCTTATTACCGCCAAAGTCCAATATATTCTGTACATTCCGACTCTCCGTGTTACGATGATCCTTTCTCCCGGCTCGACACTCGCCGTGATATACGAGGGGCAGAAAACTAACTATATTATACACTATCTTCCCCTAAAAAAACCAAGTACACTATTTACAATCTATCATAATTCAGTCTCTGAACTGGTTTTATTTTCCGTCTGGGTCTAAGAACTAAAGTATTCATATTTTCTTTTATATCTGATACATAATCATTTCTAACAACTTTCACATTTTCATCTACGTTTGGAACAATTTGAACATTTTTTTCTGTCGACTCACTACTAGTTGTAGTTAGGGCAGAAATATTTAAATGATATTTTTTTATTTGATTCATGTATCTTTTCCAAATAACATTATTCAATTCATGAATCTTGACCAAGTAAGTAGATTTTCTGATTTTTCTGAAAATGAGTGCTTTCATTTAAATTACTTTAGGCAATCTATAATCTTCAACAGTGACACTTTCGTTTTCAGAAAACTGTGAAAATCTTTTGCCTGCATAATATTTCAGTTGTTTGGCTTGTTGTTTCAAGACACGCTTCTTCAAACCTGCCTCACCACAATTTTCCTTTTCATTTGGTTTTAGCAAATCAAATCTAGTACGTAATTTCCTTTTGAACATCAACCATCAACCCGCCAAAACGGTCATCTCTCACGTAATCAGTGAAGCGGAAAATGGAAAGTAGAGAAAGTGAAAGTATTTCAATTTGGGAAATATTTAATATTTCATGTAAAGATGTGTATGTGTGTGTGTAAGAGCGAGAGACGCGTGTGACGTAATCGATGCAAAGAGAGATGGAGATGGTATCGAGATTTACCGGTTGCTAGTGCAAGCAGGTGTGGCCAGTTGAACAATAAATCATTGTTTATGGAGTAATGTAGCGTTGCCGGTTTGAAAATGAAGGGTTAGGAATACGACTGTGTACGGTATGTCTCAAAATACATCATTTAAAAAAAAACATGGCGTCGAAGTATACAGGGCACGTGAAAAAATACCATTTAAAAAAAACATGTAGGTTCAACAAAAGTCTTGCAGAAGTCTTTGTTAACCCAGTTAGCATCATCAGGAGAAAGAGGAGATCCAAAAGTGCCGAGAGGTTAAGCGTTGTGTACTCAACGTGAGGGTAATGGGGGAGCGAAGTATTCGACAATGAGATTTCAAAATACGTTGTTTTCCGTGCGTTTTCGATCGTTTTTCGTGCGTTTACGATGGTTTTTCGTGCGTTTCCGACCGTTTTTCGTGCGCTTCCGACCGTTTTGCATACGTTTTCTATTTTTGTTGAGGGTATCATAAGACGGCGAGGTTAGATAAAAAAGAAGAAATGATTTAGAAATTTATTATACATTTTCATTTTGGTAATATATCACAAAGCCATTTGTATAAAATATATACGTTCCGAAGACTGCAATTGAGTTGGTTCGCTTGCGAATGTGATGCATACATGGTGAGACACCTTCGTTGTTGTCGAATGTGGGAACCATCCATGTTGTATTGTCATAGTCCTCCAAATTCACAACGCGTGTCGGTATATTCAACTCGTGAAATTTTTTAGTTAGAAAGTCATGTTTCTGATGTCCCCGCACATAAATGACATCGACACCTTGTAGATTTTCCATGAGGATGGCATTCAATTGATTATATTCCACAAAGCCAGAGGAACACCCCAATCCGTGAATGTTTCGCTTCAAGTAACAGGTGGTACGGCGATCTTCTTTACTCAAACAGGAAAATGGTGTGTTTGGCAGCAGTAAAAAGTTACTACACTGAATTCCAATCCTAATGGCCATTTCCTCAGGATGGAATTTTTGCTCGACGGTGAAGCCTTGAATATCTACAACAGCTATTCTCATGTTGACTCTTCGATTGATACTAAAGCAAAATCACATGACATGTTCAGTTTCATTTTTTAATAATTTCGCTGAGTGGAAGGTGTTCTATAACTGTGTCGTGCACAATGATGCAATAGGCTCTAGTATTTTGAGGAAATCCCTCGGATACTTCGATTGCAAGTTTTACATCAACACTGGAAGTTTTGATGCTCTCATCCCGTCTGGAACAATCGATGACAAAGAGAGTTCTGTCCGTGAAGACGGTGGAAGTGAGAAGAGGATTATGTTGATTGGTCATTTTGTAGCTGAGACCAAATTGTGAGTAGTTGAAATAAGCTTGCGAAAAATTCCCCTCTGCAAAATTCAAATGCATATTTTCCTTGGGGTAATTCTCACCGTTAAGAGTGAGCGTTATATTGGTAATATTCAAATGATTGAATATTGTTGGATCATTGTTGACTTTAGTGTAGTCACGATTTTGTTGGAAACATACAATCACATAGCGAGGGCTTTCGAGAAACGAAGAAGTCTTGACGGCCCATATTTCATTTTTTGCACCTTGTGTGAGAGCAGGTAGCATATGAAGTTCCCATTTTCTGAACGGTATGAGAATAGGAGTGTCTGCTTCAACTTCCGTTTTCGGTGTTAGTGCAGCAAGAGTCTCTTCTATTTTGAAACAGTTGCTATCATCTCCAGCTCATACTAATCGAATGGTATGTTTACCGTAGGAAACACACTGATAATAGTTGAAGATATTCAAAATATGCTTGATAGGTATGAGCATGTTGAATGTTAGATGAGTTGTGTTGATGACGCCTGTATTGTAGTGAAAAGTCCAACCGGAGGTGGCCAAGTGTTGATATCTTCGTCAGTGTAGATGAGAAAGCCTCTTACAGTACTCACAATTCCAAGTTCACGAACTGCTTCCAATTCCTTACCACTCTGCTCATAACTAGCAGTCTTCTCATCAGTCATCCTAGTCTTGAGGGAGAAAGATAAAAAATGTACGTAAAATGGCTGGGTTTGGATAACAAACAACAGTTAAATCGAAAATGACACACAGTACATCGAAAGTAATACCAAACAAGTTTCCGTTTCCAAGGACACCACGAACATGCAGCTGTTTCAACTAGATTTAAACGAAATCCTGAAAACTCACCTTGGTGT